TATTTTAAATAGTGACAAATGATTTATAAGTTTACATGTTCGATAAAAAGATTTAAATTTTCCGCTATTTTTACAGTGGGTCGCTCCGGTGGCCCTAATGTGACTTTCCGGATCGGATCGGGCTACCCGCATCGGTCTGGGGGGTTACTTTAGTGGTATCAGAGCTATGGTTTGAGTCAAGATTTTTCAAGATAGATCGGCCGGTCGAATGTCAAAATATGTCTGATCAATACATGCCCCTAGACTGCAATCGTACCTCTCTGAGCTGGAACTCCAGGGCTGAGCCCCTATCTGTAATGAACAAACTGAAGTTTCTATCTGTTAAGGCTATACTTGTACAAAAAGGAATTCCAGTAACATCTGTCTTAACGCAGTAAAGTACCTTAGCTATGTGAGAGTATCATCTGAGAAATTCTGACTCGACTCCAGAAATAAAATTTAGATATGTTGCTGCTCTACGAGCCTATTCACGTAACCAAGGCTGAATTGATTTCACAAGGATAAAGTTGTTTTAATTATTTACTTGGACTGAGGGAGAATTCTGAAGAGATTGATTACTCGAGAAAATTTTCGTTCAGATTCTTTTATTGAAATGAGGAAAAGTTCTGATAAGAATGTATACTCAACTGATTAAGGATTAGTGAAGGATCTGTGTTTCTATAAAAGCTACATGAAAGATATGAAAGAACTGATGGAAGTTTCATTTCTGCAATTATGTGACATTAATGAATTTCGAGGACGAAATTCTTTTAAGGAGGGGAGAATTGTAACACCCCAATTTAGGGGCTAAAATTTAGAAATTATAAAGTGGTGGATTTAATTGGTATTTGGAAGAAATTTGGGGATTAAATTGTCAGATTTCAAAGATGGCAGACCGTTTTTAAGAATGCATGAAGTTTAGTGGCTAAAGTCATGATTTAACCAATTTTTATATATGTTGAATTATAAGTTCCCCCGTGCGCAGGTTCAGCGGAAAATTTTCCAGTTTTCCTCTCCCGTTCTCCCTACTTCGAACTCCGATCTACTCGCCGTCCGACCTCCGATCGACGAGCCGAACCACCATCGTGTTCGTTGTCAACCGAGGAACAAAACCCCTCAAACATTTCGTCGTGAATCATCTCCGTTCGTCGTTAATTTCAGTCGGAAGTATCGTCGGTAATAACTCGGTTTTAGTTGGTTTTTCATCGATTCACAACGATCGGGTCATCCGTTTACGACACCTCCTGCACCATCGTGTTCCTTGTGCCGTTTCGAGTCCACCGGTGTCCTCCCTTTTCTACGGCGGCGGCGGCGCGTGTGGAGGTGAAGCGGTTAAAGTTTCCGATTTGTTGAAATCGAGCTCTCCGCCGTTCAAAATTGTGAACGAGCTTTGTAAGTATCTCGAAATCGCTCAAAATAATTTTTAGAAATTTTTCCGGGATTTTATCACTGTTCACGCGCCCCCACGCGCCGCCACTGCGCGTGGGGAAGACAAAAGTAACCGGTTTGACCGGTTTTAGTGGATAGTTGACCGGTTTGACCGGTCATAGCCCGACCCGACCCGACCCGTTTACCCGACCCGTTTACCCGACCAGTTGACCCGACCCGACCCGTTGACCCGACCCGTTGACCCGTTGACTGTTGACCCGTTGACCGTTGACCGGAGTTGACCACTGTGACCAAAACTTTGACCGGCTTTGATCGGGCATTAAACGACCTTTGACTTCGACCGAGTATACCTATCCTGACATTTTTCGACGTTCCAAATCCGATTCCGCTGTCCGTTTTTCGAAATTCGAACCCGAAGGTCTCGAAATTGCCGGTCAAACCCGTTGACTTTGATTTTGATCGAAAATTCTGAATTTTCGAAAAGTCATATTTTATGCTTTCGACGTCATGAATCCGAATCCGAAGTCCGTTTCGCCAAATTCGAACCGGTAAGCCGTCTTTCACTGATTTATCACCCAATTCGATCCGTTTATCGTAATTAAGCTTCGTTTCTGATATAATTTATGTTGATATGTATCTGAGGAATTATTGGAAGTTGAATTGAAGATCAAAGGCGTTCGAATGGAATTTTTATGGTCGATCAGTATTGCACGGAAATCGAGGTAATACTTTACTACCTCTTTATGCTTTATGGAACATGTTGGTATTGATAAATGCATGAATGGAAATATTTGGTCTCATATGTGTAATTAATGAAGATCTACACTAGGTACGAATACGGTAGAAAGTAGATAACTGAATATGGCTCAGATGACTATTATAAGAAATTGGAGGACGGTTTGAATTAAATTACAAGTTCCGGAATTAAGTAATAAAAGAATTAACCATGGATTGTAGATTATAATTTATCTCATTAAAGGTACTTAGATGATAAATTAAGATAATATTTCGATTAGGGGAAATTACGAAATTACCCTTATGTTGGAAAATGATAAGAATTGTCTCTGGAAGTGGATTAATAAATCTGAGAAGAATTATTGATCTGCTAAAACTATTGATGTGCATAAGAAATGTTAGTTTTACTTGGAAATTATGGAGAATCGGTTTTTAACCCCAAGAAGGTTTATGCAAGATACTAGAAGTGTGTTAAGGGAATTATTTCAAGATTAGAGATTGTTCAGAAAGCAATTAATCATAGGATCTCTAAATTATATTATTTTCGTTAAGAGCTAATATCGAACTTATCTGGTTAAGAAATTACGGAAATGCCTTAAGAGGTAGAATAGTCTGAGATGACTCTGAATGAGAAAATACTTAGAGGATTCATACTTAACTCGATTAAGTACGGATTTAATTGTTAAGATCCCGACTTAGTGCAGGAAAATTTATGATATTCCGTTTGTAAAGTCTGAGAAGACACTTGACCTGAAAATATTCGAATAATGAGTAAATACTGGAAGAGTAATTTATCGGGGTATTCTGCTGTCAGAATTGTTCGAATGACTGAAGTAAATGATAAGATTGAATTAAATAATAAGATCGGATGGAAGGAAAGATTGAAATACCGTAGATCTGTAAAATGACCAAAATACCCCTGTAATGGAAATGACCCAAGAATATCACCAAGCTCAGGAATGATTGAATATCCTCGAGTTCTGAAATGAATGGAACAAACTAAACATCAAAATTACCAAAATACCCTTATGGCCTAAATTAAGTAAATGTCTTGGATTAATTAAGGAATCCAAGTAAGCATATGTATTGGACTACCTTTAAAGGTAATGGAAAATAATTTAAGTGAGTAGATCAAACCTAAAGCTATGTCAATACCTGAATGGCATAGATATTACTGGAACATATGTTCGTCTTCTCAAGTTTGGCTCGATGACGAATCTTGGAAGTATTCAGTTCAGCTCAGATCTAGATCGTATTCAGTACTAAGAATTGGACGTTTGTTCAACAATCAACCACGAAGACCAAATTGAATGGGATGGAAGTACAACATGTATCTGAAATTCAGGAACGTTTGAATTACTCTGGAAAATTCTGAAGTAACTGGAATGGAGATGACTGCTAAATGAAATAGGTAACCTCAATGACTGAGGATTTAGTAAGTGATTTGGATAAGTCTGGAAACTCTGATGAGTTTACGTAGTGTACAATTACAATGTGTTATGAACAAATTAATCAAGTACGTCGACATTTCATGATATTGTGGAAGTGTGGAAATGAAATAAAGTCATTGGAAGATTTATTCAGCGATAATTCCGAAAATGGTCTACGGACAAGAATTTGTGGTATTAAAGAGTAAATACCCTAGAAGGAAAATGAATTGACCAGTCGACATAGATTGTTAAGGTTCTGAATCTTCGTTCTCAAGTTGTTCGATTATCCGATCAATCGACATGGATGTAAAGGATTCTGAATACCCTTCTGATTACGTACAGCTTCTGAAAACTGTCCGAATAAGATAATATCCTGATAATTCACATTCTGAATAACTGATGATTCTGTCAGTTAATGAACTATTTCAAATAGTGATTCTAATTCCGATATCCTATCGGTATACTGAATATTCATGTTTCTCTACATGTTAAGATTATCCAATACCTCTGAATAATATCTGTAAACTCTGGTGTGTTCCCTAATCATATAAATATTTTATCTGATTTCCGACTTGAATTCTATTATGATCCTGACCTGGATTCTGATCTGATATTGACATGGATTCTGATCTGATACATGACCTGGATTCTGATATGATACTTGACTTGAATTATGTTTTGATTTTTGATATATCCGTTTACGGACGGAACATGTTTTATTGGGGGGTATTGTTGGAGGAAGATTACTTGGAGGTTCCTCGGCTGTGTGCTCAGGGCCTTACTTACCGGTTCCTCGGCTGTGTGCTCAGGGCCTTACTGTTAGTGACGGGGTTGTATGGTTCTGGGGAAACTATACATTTTGTTCGTGACGGATGGGGGTATATATATATGTGTTTTAAAAAAAAATCTGAAAAGTTACATGATTTTTGGGAACACACTAGAAAACCTATTCTGATCTCCTGAACTCAGTCATCTGAAATATTTCTCTGAAACGAAAGCTCATTGTCCGTTACCACCTGAAATATCAGTAGGATCTCTGCTCAGCATAAAAATATGTAAATGTTCGGAAACAATAAGGAAATAAATATTTATCTGTATCTGCACGTTCATCAGCATCATCTGGTAGTTCTGTATTACTGAGCTTTTCGAAGCTCACTCTATTACTCATCTTTTCAGGTTAAAAGAATTGTACCAGAGCATCTATCGACTTCAGTAAGGGAGTTCTTCCGGCGTTGTTGCAGAGTATGGTACATGTGATTAGGGAGCATGTAATTGTATTTTGATTTATATACGAGTCTGGAAATATGTTTTATTTTTAAATAGTGACAAATGATTTTATAAGTTTACATGTTCGGATAAAAAGATTTAAATTTTCCGCTATTTTTACAGTGGGTCGCTCCGGTGGCCCTAATGTGACTTTCCGGATCGGATCGGGCTACCCGCATCGGTCTGGGGGGTTACAATTCTTATCATCGCTATAAGGTATGTTTTATGCTGCACATTAGGCCCAAAATATTAATAAAAATATTAAATTAATAAGTATTAAACCAAGCGATTTAGATGTTGAGGTATTATTATTATCTTTTGATGTCTTCAATTTGAGTATGAGGTCTATAAAGATGTATGATAGTTTATTATCAAGCGGTTAAGAGTCTTTCGAACATATATTATCTTGTATTCACCTCATATAAATAAAAAAATTAAATTAATAAAAATGTTATTTTTGAAAATTAAATAATATTGTATTCCTTTTATTTATTTTTTGAATTAATATTCCTTTTATTTATTATGTGAATAATATAACGCAATTCACATGGCACTAACATTACAGGAAGACGTTGGGATTATGAAAGAAATGGGGTTAGATGCTTACAGATTCTCAATCTCATGGTCTAGAATTTTGCCAAGTAAGTTATAATATATATACACATTTGAATTTATTTAACTAATTAACTTTAATAATTTAATCATTATATATGTCAAATGTTTGAATTAATTTGATATTTATGTTAAATCAATTGAAATGATTATCTTGAAAGTTTTATATTGAATTAAAAAAATTCAGTTTTTTATACGTATGATTTATATAAATTAAATATAAAAATTAAATTAAATTAAATTAAATTTAAAAAAAATATGTAAATTAAATTAACTTTATGCTCGTTACTGTGGATAAAGTTGATGTTGCATTGCATTCGTACCATCACCCACCTTCACAAGTGACGAGATAAAATTGTTAGCTCTCAATTTTTTTAGTTTTTTATTCCTCAACCCTCAACAAATTGTTAATTTTTGCCCGTTAGTTATTTTATCATTTTATAAAAAAAATAAAAACTATAAAATATAAAAAATCCAAATTACTAAAAAATATAAAATATGAAAAATTGTTGAATATATATATATATATATATTTAAAAAATGGCCCAAAAAATCATTAAGCCCCACCTAAGATACTATCAAAAGTCACATGTCTAAGTTCACGTCATCGACTTTGACTTCTCTCCCACTTATATATATATATTGGTGGTCATTTTGTTCCGATTAATTCGAATAAATTAGTATCACACATAATTTTAATGGATGAATCTCTTAACGAAGATTTTTAAAAGATACTTATGATTCATATTTTTTATTTTTAAAATATTTAGTATAACAAATTGAGAATATTTTTAAATTTTACATACTAAATTGACCTAAAAAATAGGTATTATTTTGAAAATAAATTTTAACAAATAAATATTATTTATATAAAACAAAATTCAAAACTATAATTTTAAAGTTCCTAACGCTTCAATTTTAACATCAAACCGAGACGAAGGGATAGTCAACAAGTTGTGTTAAATCTTCAAAGTGTTAATTGATGTTGTGTGTTTGTGGCTGCAGATGGAAAGGTAAGTGGGGGTGTGAACAAGGAAGGAGTTGGCTATTATAACAATCTCATCAATGAGCTCTTAGCTAATGGTTTGAATTCATCTTAACTTTGTACTTCGAATTATAATGATTTTAATTTATTGTGATAAATACTAATTTTAGGGTTATTGCTGATTGGATTAATTATTGTGAAAAATACTTAGGTATTCAGCCTTTTGTGACTCTCTTCCATTGGGATCTTCCTCAAGCCTTAGAGGATGAATATGGCGGTTTCTTAAGTCCTCGTATTGTGTAAGTAATTAATTAACACTTCCATCAGAATTTATCTTAACTCTCAATAGTACATTAAAATCATTAATCATGTAATTATGGTCCGTAGGGTAACTTGTTATGTGAATAATGTTCGATAAATAAATCTTTGTGAAGAGACACTTCAAAAATGTGAACTAGCTAGACCTTTATAATATATTAAAGTAATTGCCCCCAAAAGTTGAAGCTATAGTCCACATTTATAGTCTCAAATTTCAAATTATTTTTGTTGAGTTTTTTTTAGTATTAGTGTTGTGTCAATCATATCTTTTAATAAATCTCTTCTCAATAAATCTTCTCACTTTATGGGTTGTGTTGTTAGGAATGACTTTCGAGATTATGTGGAAGTTTGCTTCAAGGAATTTGGCGATAGAGTAAAGCATTGGATCACATTGAATGAGCCATGGAGCTATGCTTATGGTGGATATGCAGTTGGGTTCCTAGCACCAGGTCGTTGTTCCCATTGGCAAAAACTAAATTGCACCGGCGGCGATTCCGGGGTCGAGCCATACTTGGTGGCTCACCATCTACTCCTTGCTCATGCAGTCTCTGTAAAACTCTATCGCCAAAACTATCTGGTGATGAATCATGCATGCCCGAAACATTATTAATCTACACTTAAATATATATACTTATATTCTTAGAGGTGTTCATGAACCGTGAACCGTATTCGGTTCGGAGCATCAGTCAGATATATTTAATCTAAATTCGAGATTAAGATCTCGTTTGGGAGATTAACTTTTTTATCACTTAACTCGATAAACATAGGTTACATACACATATTCTTAAAAATTACTACTTATCAAAGATGAACATATGAATTTTAACAGGCAACTCAGAAGGGTATGATTGGGATCACATTAGTTACAAACTGGTTTGTTCCAGTTTCAAATGCAAAGCACCACCAAAATGCTGCTTCAAGAGCCATGGACGCTATGTTTGGATGGTTAGTTTTACTTTTTAGTTATTGTAATTTCAGTTCATCTTCATTGCTACCACTTTATGCACGACGTTGTTCGATTTTTTTATGTTTATTACGAACATGAGATTGTACGGATTTTAATATTTAATGATATTTTTCCAGGTTTATGGATCCAATAACCACTGGAAACTATCCACACACCATGCAATCTCTAGTTGGAAATCGTTTGCCTAAGTTCACCAAAATGCAATCTGAGATTCTTAAAGGATCCTTTAGTTTTCTCGGATTGAATTACTACACTGCATCTTATGCAGCTTATGCTCCTAAGGTTAATGTTGGGAAGCCAAGCTACCTGACAGATGCTCATACTAATCTTTCATGTGAGTCAATGGGTTCAAAATGCTAAGCAAACTTTAAGATCAACTTTCTTAATCTATGGCTGACTCATTTACTCATGAAAGCATAATTTGTTAATATTGCAGCTCAGCATAATGGTGTTCCAATTGGTCCAATGGTAAGGACAACTATAACCAACATTACATATATAGATCAATTCATGATCTAAAATATTTCTGAATATTTTTCGATTTTTTCAAATAAATGTTACAGACAGGTACAAGTTGGATCTACATGTACCCAAAAGGATTTCAGAATCTTCTACTTTACGTAAAGAAAAAATATAGCAATCCCTTAATTTATATCACCGAAAATGGTATGTATATATATTCTTTTTCTCACTCTAATAAAGAATAAGGATGAGAATTATGTGTACCCGAATGATTTTTGAAAAATAAATACGGATGAAATGTAGGGGTTGGTGATACTTTTAATAATACATTATTGTCATTAAAAGAAGCCCTTAATGACAAAGGGAGGATCGATTACTATCGTCGACATCTTTCTTCCCTTCGAAGTGCTATTAAGTAAGTGTTGTTTCCCCCTTTTTTTTCTTCTTTGGTACAAAATATAATTGATTATTATGAAAATTTTGCCTCATGGTTAGGGATGGTGTGAATGTAAAAGGGTATTTTGCATGGTCGCTATTGGATAACTTTGAATGGGGGAGTGGTTATACCGTGAGATTCGGCTTGAACTTTGTAGATTACAAAGATGGGTTGAAAAGATACCCAAAACTCTCAGCTCATTGGTTCAAAATTTTTCTCAAGAAACAAACATGATGATGTATGCCAAAGAATGGCATGCTCTCTTTCAAAATATTGAAGGAAATATATGATATATATGTATTATTTGGACATACGTTATGGGTGTGTTAGTTTGATGCACAAGATATATAATGGAAAAGATTCTTAGTTTTAATTTCATCCTAGTTTTGAAATAACAAAAAGTTCATGTGCCTTTTCAACTTAATATTTGCTTAAATATGTGTATTTCTCAGTTCTAAAGCTTGTTTCATTAATTATTTGAATTTAATGTTGTCTAATTGATTTTTTAATCTTTTGGATTTAACTGATTTTTTTTGTGCTAGAGTACTTTAAATTTTAGAATACTATATATATAATTGTATAAACACTATATATATATGGACACAACTCTCTCTATACATATGTAGTTCTATGAGCATAACAATCTTAGATGCATATGTATAATTATCCAAAAACAATAACTCTAATTGAATAGAACCATAACATTGGTCCAACTGTCTTTGTATCCTCTATAAATCCCTGTATTTTTCATCAAACAAAGTATACTATAAAATTTTCAACTTAAATTAAACAAAATTCATGTTAAAATCTTTAACGAACTTTAAGGTCAAAATTCTTAACTTTGAATGGTTTCAGATTTTGTCTCTTTCGATTTATGTTTTATTTTAGATTTTATCTCTTTCGATTTATACTTCATTTAATTTGTAAACCCAATTAAATGTATCATATAATTGAGTGCACATGTTTTATCATATATTTTTTCTTGGTTCCAACATTTTTTTGGTTACATGGTTCAAACATATTTTAATGACTTTTGGCTGTTAGCTTTAAGTAGTTTTCTATACACTTTGCTTGAACCAGTAGATAGGGTTGTAAATGAGACGAGACAGATTGCGAGCTATTCGAGATCGACTCGACAAGGCTCGATAAATACTCGGATTGAATGGACTCAACTCGAGCTCGAGCTCGACTCGATTTCTTAATGAGCCGAAACGAGCTACTCGATATTCGACTCGAAAAAATGTTATATTATAATTTTAGATTTTTTAAAATTACATTATTAAAAATACATTATTGATAATTATAAAATTTAAAAATATATTAAAAATTCTATAATACAACATAGACATCTCATCCCTTATAATTGTGTGATAGGGTTTAGGGTTTAGGGTTTAGGGTTTATAGTTTAAGGTTTAAGGTTTAGAATTTATGGTTTAGGGTTTAGGGTTTAGGGTTATACACAAATACTTAAAGAAGACAATCCTAAACAGGGACTAAATTATTACCTAAACTAAAGTGTGCTTACACGATACATTCATGCATACGAAAGAAATGCAAATGCACATACATTAAGATGAAACAATATAAGATTAAACCTACTATTAATAACTTAAACTCATATTTTAAAAATGCCATGAAGGACCAAAACAATATAAAACTGAAAATAGACATACAAAGTAGAAATTACTCATTAAATTAAACAAGCCAACTAAGGGATTACAATGTCAAATAATTAAAATTACAAGACACAATTGAAAAAAAGCACAAATTGAAGGACCACTAAAGCAAGATATATAGGGTAAAAACTCTTACCCTAATTCATTTCCCCCCTCAAACTTTCCCTGGCTAAAACTTCTCGCCTCGTCGTTCTCCTCTCAAACCTCGTCCACTCGCAGCCCTAGCAGAAACCCACAGTCACCATGGCCTAAACGCTCCCCCAAGACTCCGGACGACAAAGGCAAGCTCCTATGGACGAGAAGGTAAGGTTTTACTCACTGGTTCTCTGGCCACTGATGGTTTTTGTTAGTCGAATGTTTTTTTTCTATTCTAGTTGATGCTCGTTGTTTTGGGTGGCTGATAGGTTATATGGTTGTGGTTTGATGGACTCTCTAGGGTTCTATTCCTTTCTTTTTCTGTTCTTTTTCAAACAAAATCCAGAAATTTTCTTAGGAACCAAACAAGCTCCACCTTCTAAATTATTCTTTTGACTATAGTGACCAGTCGGGGACATATTTGCCTTCCCCAAAACTTCAGCCATAGCTAGTTTTTCTTTCTTTTTCTCGCAACAAAAATCAATAACCCAGATTGAAAATTGAATCCTTTGCTTTAACCTCAACAACAATTAAAAATATAATAAATAGAGTTTTCTTAGCAGTCTCTCTTTTATCCTTTTCTCAGTTGGATGGTTCTAAAACGACCCTTTTCTGTAGCACTTATGAGCGCAATTTAGAACAACAATTTCTAGCACATTTCTAAGGTATATTGTGTAGTCCATCATTTTACCCTTTGGATTATATTCTTTTCCTTGTGTTTCCTTCTTATGTCTGCTTGGATCTTTTCAGGTAAGTGAAGAGGTGGAAAGAGCTTTGGCAAAATTAGGCCCTCCTAGACTTAGTGGAAGGTAAAATAATAAAATATATGTCTGATAATTTACGATTGTAAAGACAATTATTCTATATTCTAATGTCTTAATTTAATATATATGTATATATATATATATATATATATTTCTTTTTCAATTGAAGATATGGATAATGAAGCATGTTAGGTGGTGTTGAACGACCAATGATTTTGGTTTGGTATATCAATAGTAGCCTTATATATGGCATTGTTCCCTCTGCCTATTGTTTGTTTTGGATCCCTATGCTTAAAAATGTCAAACCATTTATGAAGTTTGTGATTTGAGAAGGTCAACCTTTATGTGATAAAAGAACTGTTTTGCTATCGATTGATGTATCTTGCGGTAGCTGGAAATTTTAATATTCATTTCAGAGCTTTTGGGTTTTAGTAAATTTTAGTTATTGTGAGAAAGTCCAGGATGTTTGTTCTTTGTGCATGATGATAATGTGGGAACATCCTATTTAACGTATTTTTTTTGTCTTTTGTTACCACTCATTTTAGTAATTGCTTATGGAATTATAGGTATTTTTTTCTGAATGTTAATGAACTATAACTGTTGACATTTCTGTTAATTCTAATAGTTTCTGTGTTTGTTATTGTCTCATTAAGTAGCCATTGTTTAAGAATATTGCGCATGAGAATTGAAGTGCTGCAATGTTTGAAGATAAGGCCAGAGCTGATATGTTCAATTTAAACTTTTAAACTGTTGTATGTTTTCTGCTCGACAACTCTATCTACGTCCACTTATATTATTTATTGTCTTTTACTCTTTTTTATAGGTGCTATGTATTGAAGCTTGGGCATGTTACTGTTTTTTTTTTTGAATTTGTGTTTGTGGTACATTATTTATATATTTTAAATGTAATTTAAGATTTTTGTAGGTTCAAATTCGAGTTCGAGTTTGAATCGAATTCGAGCTTGAATCGAGCTCAAATTCGAGTTTGAGTTCGAGCTTGAATCGAGTTCGAGCTTAAATCGAGCTCAAAATCGAGCTCGAGTCTTGAGCTTCAATCGAGCTCCTGAATTTTTTTTTAGTTCGAGCCTTTTCGAGTTCGAGTCGAGTTTTAATATTTTCTTTCGAGTTCGATTCGAGCTTGAAAATTTTAGACTCGCGAGTTTTCGAGTCGAGTCGAGCCTACATTTAAAGTTTTCGAGTTCGAGTCGAGCTCGACTCAGCTTGTTTACACCCCTACCTGTAGAACATCAAATTAAGAAACAAATAAATAAATACACTAATTTCACTTGTCCAAGATATAACGGTCACTTTATTTATTTACCATTTCTTTCTTTTTAAAAAGGCCCCTTAAACCAAGCAATTGAAGAGAAAAGAAATGGCCACTTGTATAGGGTAAATGACGTTTTAAGTCACTCAATTATTAGATTAGGTACAAACAGGTTGACGGCGCTGATGCTTTTGAGATGGTTATGTCGGCTTCACAAACAGCCCTATTTCTTTGGTTCGTGGTATCTCTTAGGGGTGTGCATTATCGGATATCGGATATTATCCGATCCGAATTTTCGGATATCCGAAAATTTTGAATATCTAAAGTAATGATCTGTATCCGATCCGAAAAAATCGGATATCCGAAAATTTGGATATCCGAAATTTCAGATCGGATATCCAAATATCCGGATCCGAAACCGATTTTATTTTGCAAAAAATCAAAAACAATTAACAGAAATTAAAATATTCATTCTCATCAAAAGATGACATATTCTATAAACAAGCAATAAAATAACCGATACATGCAACTACTATATCAATTAAAGAATACTCTTCGAAAACTATCAATACATTATACATGTCACGAATCGTATCATACATATCACCATTATATATTCCATCACTAATAATATAATATATATATATTTAACTGAAGTGTAATGAATCAAACGAAACCAGTCTGTGACAATATTTCATAACCTAAGGCTAATACAAAGGAGAACTAACACCCATTATTTTAATAACAAGTAGCAAAACATGTCTGATAGTTGTCCTGTAGGAATTTCCATTCAAACTCAGGGAGGACTCAAATGGATCCTTTGCTCACCCCTATTATAATTGAAATTTATCCGTCAATGCAATCTAAGTTCTGACATTCCATAGCATTTTGTTTAGTGGTGCATGAATGAAACCTAATGGTTTAACACAACCATAGCATTTTGTTAAGTGGTGCTCAATAACCCTTTCCTGAATTTTTATAGTATGGTTTAACACAACCATAACATGGAAGACAAATATGTCAAACATGAGAAAACATTTTACGCACAACAAATATATAATTAACTAAGCTGAAGCAAAGCCTCGCGACAGAGATGCCTTAAGCAATCATGAGAATCCCTTGCACACCTAAAAGCTCATTTAAGCATTTTGTCAAACAGTTTACGCACAACAAATGCCCAATAGAAACACGGTTAGCTATGACGAAAGGAAAACAGACCATGCAAGAAAAGAGGAATATGTATTGTCAACATTATCCTAACAAGAAGTTTGCACCCTTTACAAGTTTTGAAGCTTGGAACTTTAAGAGCTCCCTAAATCTCTATGTAACAGTTCCTATACGAAAACAAACAAATATCTTACTTGAGCTGTGCAGATGTTACTAGCAGCTTTGTCCCTAAGAATATGTTGCTCCCTGGTTTGCATAACCATATGAAAAGCAGGCTTCCGTGATGAATCAACACTGACACCGATAACTTGCCCTGGCAGCAACCTCTTGTACTCTTGAGAAGTAGCTAAAAACACAGCATGAGGACCACCGTACCCCATCGGCACTCCGAACCTCTGTGTTGAGCCAACAACTATGTCTGCTCCAAGTTCACCTTGGGACTTCAGCATTGTCAATGCCAACAAATCAGTTGCCATGACAACCTTAACACCCTGGGCATGAGCGTCTTAATAAACTCCCCATAGTCCAACAAATCAGAGAGGAATGGATATAAACTTGAAGAAAACAGCCCTAATTTTTTTCGGGTTTTCGGATAATCCGAAAATGGTTTTTTACCGATCCGTATCCGATCCGATAATCCGAAAAAAATTTCGGATACCCGATCCGAACTATCCAAAAATTGAAAAATGGATCAGATATCTGAATTTTCGAATCGGATCAACGGATCGAATAGGTCGGATCGGGTTTTTTTGCACAACCCTAGTATCTTTGACTTGCTTCATAGAAACTGACAGATAGACTTCAAGCTTATACGACGAGAAGTTAATGCGATTGCTGATTTTCTGGTTAAATCCTTTGATGACATCGATGTCGACTTCTTAACTATTAGCAGTGCTCCACTTGATCTTCATGAAATATTGGATCATAATATAACAGGACCTCCCTATATCCATATTTGTAATCTTACCAACGTTTATGTTTTAGGCTTATTCCAATTCGAACAAAATAAGTTACTATACTGTTGAAATTGAAACGGAATAATTAAGTAATTTGGTGTGATAATAATTTTAATTACTAAATTATTAATTTAGTTTAAAATGAAAGGGAAAATGAAATCATTCAAAAAAATGAAATTATTAAAAGACTCTCAACTATTTGTTTATTTTATAACAATTGTGTAATAATTGAAAACTTGATTTTAAAAAAATTATGTGGTAGTAGCAATTAAAACCCGAATATTTTCATAAATAATTTTAAATAGATTTTAATGAGTATTTAATCTTGATTTTAAACAATCTTCATGTAACTGGAAATATCAGACGCCGAAATTAGGCGATGCATCTTCAATGGATATCCTGTAAAACAAATATGGTAGTCGATACTCTCGTTAAGCTTGGACTCTCATGTTCTACTGGCGTTACAATCCTTAACACTCTCCCGTAATCTACAATCAACCACTTTGCTAGAGACGCCTAAGGGTCTCCATATCTAAGATAAATCCTTAGGGGGTGTTTGGTTCAAGGATTGTGGGAATCTCACATTCCCATGTTTGGTTGGCCTACCAATAGTAGATTTTTTTGGGTATATTACCGGGAATGTCATTACCTCTCTTCCCTTAGGTATTGTAACATTACCGGCGTTTTGGACTAAAATGCCCTTAAATTTTTATTTTTTTTCAAAAATATCATCCTTCTGTCATTAAATAATAAAAATTCTACGAAGGTTAAATTACAAATTTATCCTTAAATTATTTTAGATTTACAAAAAAAAATCTATAATTAAAATTTTATATGAAGTTCAAGGGTTAAAAACAAATTTTACCCTTTCATTAAACCTTTTTTATATTTTTAATTTTGTAAAAAAATTATATAAATATTATGAATTTAATTTTTTAAAGAAAATATATAAATATTTTACAATTTGTAATATTATACAAATATATAATAAGGACAATTTGGTTAAATATACATTCCAATAATCTTTTATTCCAATAATCTTTTATTCATTTAACCAAACACGGTAACCTTACATTCCTGCTAAACCAACCAAACACAAAATACAACATTCTCAGTAATCCTATTCCCTGGTAATCTTTTATTCCCACTGGTAATCTTAATCTTTTATTCCCACTGGTAATCTTACATTCCGTGAACCAAACGCACCCTTAGTGTTTTATGTTTCCACTTTCAATTAAAAAAATAAAATAAAATTTAGTATTAAAAAATAAATAAAAATACATTTATATTTATAAATTTGTGTATTAAACTAATTAATGATTTCAAATGAAGTACTCTAGTATTAACGAGAGTCCCCAAATAAGAATAATGATGAACAATGAAGAACAAATAGTTTGGAAGAAGAATAAATATTAAATTGATAGAATTTTTAAATATGAAAGAATAAATTTATTGAATCATGACTAAATTAATAGGTATATGTTTTTAGGACTAAAATTGTTATTATACTAGACCACTTAATTTGTTTCAATTTCAACTTCGGAGTGACATGTTTATAATAGTATTTTAATTGAGTAACTAAATTGTAATTCTTAGAAAAATCATTACCGATTTGTATCCAACCTAATATTTGAGTTACTTGGAATTCAGTTTACCCACTTATATATTTAAAGAGTCCAGCAAATTAGTACCCCTAAACCAAAGCAAAGGAAAGAAAAAATGGAAATGTCGATTATAACCCGGCGTTGTCTTCTTCTTGTTTGGATATTTGTTGGGTTATAATCAGTGGATAGCAAAGTCAGTGGTTCCTCACCTTCGCTCCATCGTAAAAGCTTTCCTGCTGGGTTCGTCTTTGGAACAGCATCATCAGCTTACCAGGTAAGTAAAATTAGATCGATTTGATCTTTGAACGAATCAAATTTGATTTTGGGGATCTGTTATGGCGAACAAATCAGTACGAAGGTGCAGCTAAAGAAGGAGGCAGAGGTCCAACTGTATGGGATACTTTCACTCACAAGCATCCAGGTCCATCGTCTTTTAACTTTTTATTTTTAAATGATTCTATAGATGATTAAATGATTAAACGATGGAGATTGCAGAAAAGATAGCAGATGGAAGCAATGGAGACCTGGCAATTGATTCCTATCATCGGTATAAGGTATTCTCTATGTTTTACACTAAAAGTAGGCCCTCACGTTTTTCCTTTCTTTACTCTGCCACTGTGGCCGTCACTACGGATAGCATTTACTATTTGATAGAATCGAATCTAAAAATAAAATTAAAATATGTAAAAATTGTATAAAGTTAAGAGATTAAATTATTAAAAATAATTTTATTTTCAAAAATATGAATTGAAACTGTATTCTACATTGATTTAAAATCATATGATTCAAATTTAATCAAAATAGACTTAAAATAAAAGAATAAAAAAATTATAGACTAAAATGTAAAATAATTAAATTACTTAGTTAATGATCAAAATGATATTGTTATCATTTTTTAATTTTTTTTATTATTCAAATTTTATCGAATTCAAAAAATCAAAATTTAAATTTATACAGACTCTAATAATTTGAACAACTAGAAATAAAATATTCAGTATATATATGTTGATATAATTATTAGTGTAGTACATATATTTTTAAAATGTCTAACTTATTAATTGTACTTTAAAAATAATTAGGTGATACTAGTACTAAAATATCTGATGTAGTATCATATGTACTTTAATAATATAGTTAATGTGAAAACTCATTAACTAATTGTAGTGATAAAAGAAGATATTGTTCTTCTTAAAAAGTTTAGTTTCAGATAGTTATGTTAGTAGGATATTTGTGCGCCGTCAGTCACTATAAATATATGAAATATATATTATTTTGTAATTATCTTAAATTATTTTTAAAAAACATCTAATATTAAATTATTAATATGAATCAATATTTTTTATTAGGTAGAGATATTACATTTAAGGTAAATGTCAAAATTTAAATTCATATAAATTATGACAATATGAATATCGTTGATCATTCGACTAATTAATAGATGTCATTCTGAGTACTATTTTAGTACATGTGAGTTTTTATTAACCTATTTGTCATTTACTAATAATATTAAAGTAGAATTATCAAATATGATAATTATCCCTCTTATTAATTAGGAAGAATATAACAAACGTGTTTCACGTGGCACTTGCTTTACAGGAAGATGTTGGGATTATGAGAGAAATGGGATCAGATGCTTACAGATTCTCGATCTCATGGTCTAGAATTTTACCGAGTTATACACATGATATGAATTTATTTAACGAATTACTTTAATATTTATGTCAAATTTAATTATTGAATCGTTATATATCTTGAATTTTAAAAACATCGTATTTTATATATCTTAATAGCTGAAATTTCTATATCAATTGGATAATTATTAAATATTTTTTATTTACTCAAATTGTTACACATATATAAGTTAAATGAATAAACTATAAATTTTATCGCAGATTCAGAGGTAAAATATATTTATATAAATGATATTAGGTGTGGATTGATCCTTAAATGGGTGGGTTTTAGTTATTTTACTTAATAGTTAAATAAAAATTTTATTATAGAAATATTTAGTACAATTAAAAAAATATCATTTTAATAATTTCACAACTTAACTTAGTTATAAGTAGGGTGTTCAAATCCGGTACCCGAAAATAATGCCGGATACTCAAGATTTTCGAATCACAAAATCTCGACCCGTGACCTTACCCGTAAGAAGCAGGTACCCGTAAGTCGAATACCCATAAAACTTGGGTACTCGTATTTTTAAGTCACAAATACCCGATTAATTTTTTTTAATAATCCACATAAAAAAACATAAAATTTAAAAGTTTATAATACGTAACATAAACATAAAATTTATAAATCCAACTTATATAATCTAAAAATAAAATAAAGTTATAAAATTACAACTAAATTTAAAATAATTTGAGATTAAAAGAAATAATTAAAATGTTAAGTTGAAATAATTTGAAAAAATAGAGATTTAAAATGCTAGGGTGAAATAATTTTGAAATTAGAAATGAAAAAACTAATTTAAAATAAAATAGTAATAAAATAAAAAAGAGGAATGGGGTTTGGCGGGTACTCGGTTAAGGGAAATTTTATGATCCGAGTTCGACCTGGAAACCTGTAAAAAATATAGTGTCGGGTACCTGGCCCACAAAA